GATAACCGACCAGACAGACCGCGACCCCCAGTTGGCCAACAAAAGACTGGCCAAAACAGTTCACTGACAGCAGTCGGCCAAGGGGAATCCCCGAAAAAAAGAAGAAATAGGGAAAATGGCCAGAAGAACGGGGGGTTCGGAAACCAGAAGCGGCGCGTGTTGGCCAACTCCTCAAACCTTTTGCCCCGCCTTTGTTTAATTTATGTTTGCCTAGTCTCTGTCTTTACGCTTTGAATGGCAGTGAAATATAATTCGCTAATGTGGTCATAAAACGAGCAAAAAATATATGGCGAAACGGGAGAAGGAAAGACAATAGATGTGAACAGCCATTGAGCGCATATTGCTTGTCTTGGCCGCACGTGTGGCTCGTTTATTGGATGGCTATACATATATAAATGTATATTGGGGATAGAGTCGGTTTACTTTTCCTGAAACGAGCATTTCCCCACACAAATAATGGCTCGTGCACTTATTTACGGTTTATATGTATATTTATTAAGGCGTCGTGTGTCTCTCGTTATTGGGTCAGCAATTAGCCATAGGGCCCGGTAACGAACCAAGCGATTGCCAGTTGGCCAAGTGCAAACAGCTGTTGTAGGGCAGTTCAAGGGGCCACTTGGGTTGATAGCTACCACACGTCGTTAAAAAAATAAAAAAAATATATACTGAAAAAAATAATATTTCATTAAAATGTACAACCGATTCCTTTCTGGTTAGGTAAGGAAAAAATTATTTTTTAACAATAAAATCTTTATAAATATTTTAAAAATCTAGTAATATATTATTAAATTCTCCTAAATTTTGAATCTAAACTTTGGTGTGAAAACCTATCCATCATTCTTTCTGGTTAAACTTTATTTTTGTCTTAACTTGAGTGCCTATCATTTTAATAACTGACCAGCGGAAATACTAGAGTTATGTCACCCAATGGTAATCATGGGAAATTCCGTTGCCAACCAAATAAGTTGGTAAACATTGCGTATACGTAATGGACAAGTAAATTTCAGGGGACTTAGCCACACGAACCTGGGTGTTTCACTATCCACGAGTATACCCCGCAGAATCCCACGCAAAACAGATCGTTCTATTAATAAGCATTAAGTTCCTGCCGGAAACGGTTAATCTATGCCGTGGGATTTGAATAAATCTCAACGGATCCCACAGTGTGATCCCCCTAATAAGCCATGAGCCGAATTAATTATACCATAGGAAATTAGGCAGTTTTTTATTGTTAAATCTGAGTCTCGTGTTTCACATTTGGCATTCATGGGCCGCCACAGAAGTCGTTAGTATTTTCAGATGTTACACTTTAAAATAAATCCCCCCCCTACACACACACACAGACAGCCGCAATTTGCCGCACACGTGCGACCAGAAAAAAACACAGACAGATGCCAAAATGACATGACCAAAAGCCAAGCGAAAAAGAGAATTAATTTCGTAGTTGCCTGCATAAATTAAAAAACCGACAGAGTAAAAAACACACAAAAACAGAGAAGATGACTTTGTGATTCAGGCGCAGTCGACTGCGGTAGCCACTTGGCGATAATTCCACAGACACGAGCCCCACGACCAGACAAGGGCGAAAAGCCAGCCGCAGGCGATAGACTTGCGATCCACACGGATAAAAATGGGATGATTACAAAGTAACTTAAACTACTTTGTATGATATTTAATGATATTATTTATCTATGTCATTTGTATGTTATTTTCAAAACTATCGCTTTTATCAGACTATAACGAATGAGAAAAAGTGATGTAGTCAAATAAAAGAGGTTGCACTATGAGTAATGTTAAGTATATATAACTAGCTTTAAGTAAAATCCATTAATATTTAAAATTAAAAAAAAAATATTTGATATATATTTTTAATATTTATAATAAAAAAAAAACTTACATTTATTTAAGTCCAATTAAATAAAGAATAGTATAAAAGCTTCAGAAGTATTAGTTAGAAAGTTAGCATTAGTTAGCATTGTTAACTGTCCAATATTTTATTTCCTGTAATTTTTAAGACCAGACTAAAATTTAAAATATTTTTATTGGCTTTAATAATAGAAGAATTTTTAATAAAAAAAAACACTGTGCTTGATTCAATGATCTATACATTTTTTCTTTAGTTCCCTGAAATTTCTCACCCCACTTTCTCGCAGTGCATTGGCTCTAGTGTGCTGGAGAGAGGTAAAGCCGCTCTCCCGTTAATCTAAAACACAAGCCACCAGAGAGCGACACAAAAACAATGGGCACACACACGGCACACAAGCACACACACAAAGCCGCCGAGGAAAGCTCACATGCCGTTAATGAACTTTTATGCTATAGCACTATCTCCCTCCCTCCCACACACCCAGTGGCCTAGAGAAACGCTCGAGTGTCTGTGTGTGTGTGCTGCTCTGGTTCTTCTTCTTTTTTGCTGCTATTATTTATTATTTTTTTGTGTATATTTTTTTTATTGAATTAACGACGCACGTGTTGCGCCGACAGAGCTGCGCGCGCTCTCTTTTCTCCGCATTCGGGGCCAAAGCGACGATCCGCATATCAGCTTTGTGTATTGTTTTTGCCTTTTCCCCGCTCTGCCCGTGTTGTTGTTTGTTTATATTTATACACATCGGATGAGACCCATATTTTTTCCAATTTTTTACTGCTTCGCTTGTTGTTGTAATGCGGAACGCGCGCGTTCGAGCGAAAATGATAAATCTACGATTATGGGCGTCATGGGGTGTCATGAATGGAGCGACCTCCCGAACACGCGCAGAGTTACCTATGCCTATCATAGATACAGATACGGAATCGGTCGGTACCTGCTTAGTGTCCACGTTTCCCTAACTTCCTGGTGTAGTCCCGAAATTTATAGAGCCATTAGGGCAATGAACTGTTCTTAGAAATAATTTCAGCCTTTTCTTCTCAAAATAATAAAATATGTAAATTTATTTAAAAAAAAACGTATTTATTCTTTTATAGGGTTAGATATATTTATTATATATATTATATATATTTGATCCACAAATATCTATACTCAGAGATAAATATTCAAGTACATTGTTCTTGAAATGGGAACATTCTTTCTTAAAAACCGTGTAAGTTCATTTTGATATCAATGTTCTCAATAGTAGAACAAAATGGTGAGAATAGAAAAGCTAAATTAAGTTTACTTAACAACTTTTTGATAAGTATATAGTACTGACTAGACTAATAGCTTATTTGTTGAGATATACAATGTAAACACCTCCAATTCAACTTGATTTGAGAAAGACAAAAACATTTTCAACTTCAAAAATGTCTTTCTATTTTTAAGAACATTTTCAACTCAGATGAGAATGTCAGAATTTTTTCTGTGTAGTTATACATTTTTTATTTGAAGATCTTTTAAGAGGAAGTATAGATTTTTATTTCACGTAAATTCTGGAGATTACCTATAATTCATAATTCATTGAGAATATAAAATGAGGATAGATATTTCTGAATACAAAATGTATACAACAGACAGAATCCCAAATATAATAATTTAATTTAATTTAAAGTCAAGTTTCTAAAGCATAGCTAATGAGTTTCAAAGTGTAAGCTTACTAAGCCAGACATTATACAAAAAATGCTAAAAATAACTTAAATAAAAATCCTATCAAATTTATTTTGTATTTTTGTGGTGCAGTCTTAAATTATTTTTACAAGTATCTACAAGAACCTTTCCAATCGAAAGTACAAAGAAAGAAAGGCTCCACTCAATGAATTTTCCCTATGAAAACCTTAGTTACACAAATGCATTGGTTTCGCAGCAAGTAAATAAATAAATAAACAAACAGCTGTCAATTGTGGCAGTCACAGCTTGATTCACTTTAGCTGAGCCATCGCTTCTTTTTAGCACGCCGTAAAATGGCAGCTGCAAAGCTGGCCCAGAAAAATCCCCCAACTTGGCTATTCTTTATAGTCGACAAGACAAAGGTCTGTGTTTACTTTGTGTTCATTTTAGGAATATTTCACACGCTCAGACTTTGGGGTTTATGGCTGGGGTGAAACCAAAAACCATTTAAGTAAAGGAAGGAAGTACTTTTATATCTTAGTTCACCGAATTTGCCCCGAAGAAATAAGTAAAGGGCTAACAAACATTAAAGTTTTGTTTTGTTTAGTTTAGACTTTGTTTTTGGGGCTGAAGTTGAGTGCGGCTGGAAATATATGTAAGCATGGAAATCATGGAAACTTTTTTCGAACTTTAGCTCTTTTTATATTCCCATGGGTTTTGGAAGAAACGTTTTTAAAATTTGACCAGACATAATAAAACGGGCTATGAATGGTTAATGGAAAAAATTAAAGAGTTTTTATATGAATTTTAAATATTTACCTAGAGGAAAATTACTATTTTAAATACAAAAGCATGAAGTTTAAACAAATTGATTATGGAAAAAATACAAAGCTTCTAAAATATTAAAAAGAAAATAAGCCATTTTACTATAAAAGCATGGAGTAAAAAAATATATAAATTTTAAAATGATTTTCTTGTGGTTTCTTTTAATATATTATTGTGAAAAATCATCAATTGCCATACTTTTTTCTGGAAAGTGATTAACACATGTTTGGTTTTTTCGCTCACTCTAAGATATGTTTAATAATTTTTAAGGTTGAACTTTAAAAGTCACATTTAGTGAGCTCAAGAAATCAATATTGCGCATACGCCATGTGGCCCGCCTCAATGCAGTTGCAAGCGCAGCCCTGACTCGCCGAAACGAAAGGCCAAAGGACGTGGATCCTGACCTAAATTCGTCCTTCAGAAGGTGAGGCACAAGGCACAAAAAATCTGATAGAGGGGGGTACAAAAAAAACAGAAATACTGGGAGGCTGTCTCTCTAGTTGGAAAGGAGAGCTTTCAGCATCGGAAGTCGGCTGTCAAGTGCAATTTTCCTCCTCTTTTCTCGCTGTATTTATTATCATTTCGCACCGCACGTGTGGCACACAAATGCTAATGCTAATGCCGGGAGATTTATGGGCAACCTTTCGCAGCGACTTACCCGGTTTTTGCGGCAATAATGTTGCTGCGTCGTCGTGTTTCCTCCGCTCAAACTCCCCTAATTTAATGCACCCTCATCGGGGGTAATGAACATTATCTTTTTTACTTTTCTTATAATTTTCTCAGATTTTTCCCATTTGTTTTCACACGCTTTTAATCTATTCTAGGTGGGAAACGGGGGACGAGTGTGTGCAAATTCGCAGACGCCAATGGCAACACGCGCGCCAAACAAAACTTTCGCTTTCGTTGCGCGTGTGGCCCTCGCACCACCACAGCGACACACTCACTCACAGGGCACACACACAGTGGCACACACGCGCTGGCAAACAACAAACACGGATATGCGAATACGCGAGTGCTCGACAAAATACACGACTGCGAAATACGTAAACGCTCGTGTGGAATAATGCGAAAATTCAGCAGTGCTTTTCCAGTTTGCTGCTGTTTGTTGCGAACACCTCGACCGCCCAACGCAGAATGAACGCGGTCCGTCGGACGAGCGACGTTTTAATGGCGGCTCAGCCGGCCGTCGCTGCGCACCAGACAAAAGTGGCGAAGTCGGTTGGGGAAAATATTAATACCACTTTAAAAAATGATGATTTTTTCATTAGAAGAATATTTGAAAAATCATAGGAAACCCTTACACAAATATTGTATATTTAAATAATGTTTATTTGTCTTTCTAATTTGTTTTAAATAATAAATTTTTAATTATTGCTTAATTTTCTTAAAAAATGTTCACCTGTTTTCCAAAATTTTTTTTTTTTTAACTTATAATAAAATGTTAAATATACCTACGTCTATAAATATTTTTTAAAATTTTGTTTATAATATAAAACAACTAATTTACAATTTAGAAAAAATAACTTAGTCTAAATTTGAACCGTTTTATATTTTTAATAATTTTTTGAAAATAATGTAAGTGTATATTTTTTAGTCAAATTTTTTTTTTTTTTTTAATATAACAAGGTTGGGAAAAAATAACACAAATATTTTTAATACATAATATATATTATTAGTTAGATGACTAAAATATGAGTTTTAATTAAATTTATAGAACAGTTTAATTATACGATGATTAATTACCAATCAAAAATTGGACTATTGCCCGAATTTATTTGTAAAGCACTATTGCTGACCTTATCTGCGGAAGTACAGTTCCAATTAAATTTATGGCCAGACGAATTATTTAATTGCAATCACTGATGCTCGAGCATTTATCAAAGTAAAACTATTTTTAGGACCCTTTGAAAAACCGTTGACACACATTCGCTATAAGGCCGCCAACGCATCTCAGACAATCGAAAAAGGTTTCAGCAACATTGTTGGGGCACAAAACGGCCAGAAAAGGGGGAACCCCGGGGGTGGGTTTTGTGTGCTGGGTCGGGTTTGTTTTGGTCGTGCCCTTCTGGTTGCCTAAATCCGGATCCTCGGGCCCCGTCACCCCCAACATCACCACCCCTTCCTGGCACCTTTCCCGCCCCGATGGAAGGCAATTTTGTCGCACGTGTCGGAAATTTTGTTACGGCCGATTGCTTTTGCTTCCTCTGCTTGAGCCCCTCTGCCTGGGTCTTTCAATGAGTTGTATTCGCGCCGACGGGTTGATATATGTATATATGTAGGTACAGGAGAAATTCTTCAACTACAACTCATAGGAAATGAATAATGTAGACTTTGAGTTGTAAGAACCACTCAAAAATTTATATACGCAATACTACCTTACATAGTTGTGATAAATTGATTTATTTTAAAAGTCTTTTAGAATTAAGTCTATTTCTGGTAGCGGTTTCCGTTAAAAAATAAAATCCTATTGGAATAATGCGAGGGTATGTATAAAACTGGAAAAACATTTTATCTAGTATTATAGTTTATTTATGGTTAAATTCCTAATGTTTTATAACTTATACAAGTATGATTATTTTTATACAATAAAAAGATTAATTAAAATCAGAAAATATATTATTACTGTGTTAAAAATAACGTAAATTTTTGGTTATGGTTTCTATAAAAAACGTAATAAAATATAAATGTTTCAAAAAAAGAAAAAAAAAGTTTTTTTTAAGTTACGTTGTTTTTTTTTCTTTCTTTTCACTTGTTTCTTTTTGTTTTAACACCGCGTTACCTTGAATAAAATTTCTTTTCGCAGTTAATGCGACTAGGGGTGGTTGTCGTTGAACTCAAGAGCTTTATGATTTTTTGACGCAAAGTATTGCATCAGCAAATGTTTGGCTTCTCGAGGTCCTACTGAATAATTGTGTAGATATTTTCCCTGTTCGCTCGAGGACCCACTGTCTCAGAAGATATACTTTCGCCCGGCCTTTCTCGCCGTTTGTCGTAATGAAAAGGCAATTCAATGGCCTTTGGCTTTTGCCTTTGCTTTTCCGCTGCCTGCGACACCAACGGTAAACGGGGATGGCGATGGCTGATTTCCTGTTTGGCTTTAATCGTCTGCTGCCTACCAAAATGGCAGCAAATGCGAGCAGCGAACAATAAAAGAGAAATTAGCATAACACATGAGGCCCCCTTCTTACCCCTTTCGGGTTCCAGCCATGTTCTTTATGTGTGAATTTAATGGGCTCGTGGGTGTCTGGGCCAGAGTCGCTTTTCTATTTCAATTGCCGACACGTGTACGCCGCGTAAAACAAAAGAAACCAGACCATAAAGGCAGCACGAACATGTCTGGCCATTTGCATTTTCACCCGCCCCCAACTTTCCCCACCCACCACGCCCCCTTCTCGTGGGGCAAAGTGTCATTTAATTGCCCCAAAGCGAAGGGGCGTGGCATCGCTTTTGCGTCAATGCAAGAGTTCCTCCATAAACACAATCGTAACACGGGGCTGTCCACCCTATCGAGCCGCCCATAAAATGGGAGTGCGTAATCAAATCTAATGCCAAATTTAGCCTCAGAACACGCGTCGGTCACACGGCACTTCCTCAGATTAGCCAGAGACAAAAATAACCGGTACCAAAATAATCTGAGCATTCAAAACAAGGCCCATTCAGAGGGGAGATTTTGCAGGTTCTTTACTATAGTAATATTCGGGATGTCCTTATCAGCTAAGGCTTTCACTTCTAATTTTAGAATTTTTTTAAGATTGGTTCATAAGATTTTGGTGCCATGATTAAGTAATATTCAATGTCTTAATATATACTATTTTTGTTCTTTGTACTATTTCGTATAAATCAACTGTATCAAAATGTTATGACATTTCATATTGAATTTATAACCGGAAATATAAAACATATTTAGAGAGTCTTATTAAAGAAAAAACTAAAAATATGATTTCAAGACATCTCCAGATCAAAATTCCATAAAAACAAATTCCCCCAAGATATCAAATTAGTTGAGACCCCATTTAGTAATCGTTTTTATACGCATTGAAGCATCCCCTTACTAATTTCTTGGCATCTACTTACCCTACACACAACACCAATATCATTATCAAAATAAACCATAACCACAGACTGAAATACGATTCTGCGGTTGATAATCGTAACGCTAACACATTTATTTGTCACCATTTTTTGTTTAGTGTAAGGCGATCGAGCTGGCCAAAAATACTACGTATGTATTTGTTTTGTTTTCGTATCGGAATTTCTAAGGAACACCATTACTCGGCAGAAAAGCGGTTATCAGTTGATACGGCGGTCAGCAGGGAGATGTTTATTTTTGGGAATATCGGAGAATCGAATTTGCAAATGCCTTGACCGCGAGTGTGTGAGTGTACAAGCGTGTCCAGTGCGAGTGTGTGGGTACAATAACAATAACAGTAACATGCGCCGACCGCTCGGTACTTGTAGTACTCGTTTTTTATTTTTTGCCGGTTTTTTTTTCCCCGGCGTGTGTTAGATTTTATATACTCTATAAGAGGGTACTCTAAATATCTTAAAGGTTGAAAAATGTTATTTTTAGGATCAATATTTTCATGATAAATAGTTGGCAGAAATAAATTCATGGCTTAATGGCTTTATTATTTAATTTTTAAGCAAAATAACTTGCAGAATTATCTCAATACAATATTAATTTTCAAAAAATATTTTATTTTATAATCTAGAAAGTGCATTTTTCCGTTGGTATTTGACTTTTGTAATTATTCTTTTTCCTCCGTGGTTGACTTGTGTTGTTTCCGCTCACACATGCCCAATGTCAAGGCCTCTTCGATATGACCGCGAAAACCCGCCAAAAATACGTCTCCGAAGTTAATTTGCATACAAATATTTGCCTTATATGTGGCCGTTCCGAATGCAGGGTGGGAAATGGGGAATAATATATGTAAAAGCCTCCACGCGCCTTGTTATGGGTGGCAATATGCTGGAACACAATGCGTGAGGCCAAAGCCGATGGCCCCCAGCGGATCAACATACAAAAATACATATAATACTCGCTGATACCGACAATTTGATAGCGTTTTTGCCAATGGGAAACAAAGTACGCACCTGCTGCAGAACACCTGGCAACAAAACAGGTTTTCCAGTATTATCTCAAAATATTTTCATTCATATTTTTCGCCCTGTCGAACTCAAATTTGCCAGGCTATAATCACAAAAGAATTTCCGTAATTAAAAATACAATGTTTAACCGGGAGCCGGGAATTTTTTTCTTTATATGTATTCCTATTTTTATAGTAAAATGCTTATATTTAAAAAAACGAAGTTAATTCTTAGCCGAGGTAAGACTGTGATGACTAACTTTGAATCCAAATTTGTTGAACACTGCCTTATAACTTTATTATGTATTTATTTATACAAGATCGCATAAAGCCGCAAATGCGTCAGAGAAAGCTATAAATAGAAAAATTAAAACAGCTTTTTAACAAATTTGCTGGGGAACGACTTGTTAGTCTCACCATTTATAAGAAATATAAACATTTAGAACAGGTAGTGTAAAATCGAAAAATTAAATATTAACTTACATTAAAAATAATGACAGCTAAATCTTAAATTAAAAGTGAAATAGGTAAGTGATTCCAATTGCTATGTTGAATATACATTATAAATTCTAATAAATATAAATTCTTTAAATATATATTGGTATTTTATTTTAAAATTCGCGGGTTCAAGCAGTTTGTTTACAGCTTTCGATGGTAGACTGCTTGTACTCATAATTTCGTCGAGAGCTTTGAGACATAGAGCTTTTCAGACACCACTTCTTTTAATGGCAAGCAGTTTTAGGCGGGAAATTTAAAATTTTAACAGAAATCCTATGGCAGCAGCAAGTAATTACAAATGCCTTTAATTATAGAACGTGTTTAAAAACAAATCATCACTTAATTTGTAATTTTTTCTTCCGCTAAGAACTGTTTTAAAAAAATTAAATTTATTAAAAGTTTTTGTTAGTTAAAAGTATTTGTTGCCCTTGACCACACAATTTATAATATATATATTAAGGAATCAGCAGTCCAAAGTAAATCATTTGTCCTTTAGACTTTATTTGTAGGCAAATGCAATCACCTTGTTAAATTC